GGAGGATGGGGAAATGAGTACCATACCTTAACTTTGTCCATACTGAGATGTGCAAAATTAGAGGGCACTTCCAACATTGACTGAACTGTCTTTGTGCACAAGGTTTTCATTAGACTTGCAAAATTGTATTTGTAAGCATCTGTTTTCATAACAAGGTTTCATATGTGTCAGTGCAAAGAAACTAGAACTGCTATTCCATCCATGTATTATCTCAAAAATTGAGGCTTATGACTAAGATGTCCTGAAGTATTATGGAAACCCACCACCACAAAGAAAAAAGCACCTCAAGAGATTAGAAAATACCCACCCAGCCAAGCAGAAAAGGTATCGTACTGCAGTTTCCACAGGATCAGAGACACACACCTGACACCAAAAATCCCTTCCTACAGAAGATTTCAGGTGGCACTTCACAAATAATGTTTAGTATAACCATCAAAGTGGGGTTGCAGAATATTTAGAGTGTCCAGCATTGACAGGAAAATTATAAAGCAAGACCAACTAGGAGCAGAAATACCAATTAGGTGCACACAGCTTCTGAAGGTAAAAGGAAGGGTTTGCTTGTGCCAACTAGTTTGGCTTGAAAGGCAGACAAGTCACTTAAATACAGGAGGTATACACTATACAAGAAGTTTACGTCAAGGAACTGACAAAGAAAGTAATCAAAAGCTCCAGAGCAGGGTGACAAAATAAATTTCTAGCTCTTGCAGCTGGAAAGAACTGAATAAATTACAGGGAAGGACAACGAAGGGGATTATTTGTGCTCTACATAAGCTACGACTGTATTTGCAGCTTAGCTACAGAGCATGTATGAGAACCAAAACCCAGATGTACTTTTAAACCTTCTGAGCTAGGGAGCAAGTCCTGACAACAAAGCATCAGGGAAGAAGATAAGCGTTATCATCACTGAATTCAGGCCCAGGTTATTCATACCGAAATCATGAAAAACTAGAATTGCATCCTGCTTCAGGAGAACTGAGTTAACACCACCAGGAAACAGAATCTGAGCTGCGTACCAAACCAACGACGCTTTGAAGGATAACCATCAAGATACCAAACACAGTTTGGAGGCTTGTGTACAGCCAGAGAGTTTTGCATCCATGCTACCTTGTCCCTTGCTCTGCTCTCCCCAGATATGAACGGCTACCCGTGTTGTTCACTATAAAGCCATTGCTTCCATTCAAATCCCCCCCAAGACTGGACTTGCTGGTTGTGGCTAATGCAGAAACCGTAGCTATGCGTCAAGAGTCATTTTCTCAGCCAGGGACTCCTTAGACAACCTATCTATACCACAGTACTGCCACCAGCAATTTGGGATTAGAAAAAAAAGAAAAACCCTGTCAACTGTGGTATTTACAATAGGTAAGTTTAAACTTTTTCATCATCGATGCAGTAATCAGCACTGCCATATAATTAATTTGGCTGTAGTCACAACATGGGCTGGATGAGCACAAATACCACAGTGGAGCCTTTGGAAAAAACACAACTGTGGGGTGAAACAGTTGCAACACAGAGCAAATAAATAGCTTCCCATTTAAAAGCTACAAACTCAGGTTTTAAGAGTGATAACCAAACTTAACGTGCTTTTATATTTGCCATGAAAATGAGTCTTAACAGCCACGCCATTTTCAAAATGTTCTATGTTTGAATGAAGTGTCTGCCTCAAAGAATAAAGTCAAGGCTTATTTTCAGTAATCAGGCTTTTTTGGACTTAAAATGCTATGCTTTAAGTCTTCCAGAATGGCTCAGATGTCCATGCAACAGAGGCAAGATAACAGTTCTTCTCTGTCATGTCAAAAAAGTATTTCTTCTCAAAACAAAGCATTTTAATGTCCTGAGGATCCAAGTGTGAAAATTCAAGTTTAGAAGTTGAATTTCAGCTTGTCACCAGTACTAACAAGCCAGAACAAACATGATACACCCTTACCTTCTGTTCAAATGAAGCCCCGTAATAACCATCATTGAGACCAAAAATAATCTCATTTGGGTTTCTTGCGTGTATCTGTGAGAAGAGAAGAAAACAAATGATTTTATGGTCAGCTTCCTATGACTTTACACTGCAAATGAGCATAAATTGCTCCGTTTGATGGTCAAATGCAGTTTTTCAGCACCTGTAATTCTAGAAGCACATGAAACCCAAGAGAAAACCGAATTTAACAATGGAAAATGCATTTGTTTCACAGCTTTAATAACAGTCAGTGAATATGTTCAGCCATTCTACCTCGAAATCAGAAACACTGGCCAGAGCATCTTTCCTATTGTGGCATTTCCAGCTGACAAAAATAACTAAGAGACCAGCTAACTAATCAAAGAGGTAAGTCTCAGGAGTAATTAGCTTTCACATGGTATTACCTAAAACGACACTCAAAATTAGGTTTTTGTGGTCATAGCTGACACAAAATTAGTGTTCAATATTAAAGCCAATATCCTGCTATTAATGTACTAATAAGGACATTATTTCAAATAAACCCATGCACTAGAGCGTATTGTTTAGGGAGCCATTTCTTCTGTCCAGTAAAAACAAATGGAAAGAAACCTACAATATGAAGGGTACTGGGTTTGGCTGTGATGGAGCTTGTTTTCTTCATAGCAGTCCGTATGGTGCTGTGTTTTAGACCTGCGACTAAAACAGTGTCAGTAACACACCAGTGTTTTAGCTGTTGCTGAACAGTGCTTGCACAGCATCAAGGCCACCTCTGTTTCTCACTCTGCCCCCGCAGCAAGGAGGCTGGGGGTGAGCAAAAGCCTGGGAGGGGACACAGCTGGGACAGCTGACCCCAACTGACTGAAGGGATATTCCGTACCACATATCATCACGCTTAGCAGCAAAAAACAGGGGTCAGACTTTGCAAGCTAGCTGTTGCTTGGGGACTAGCTGGGCATCAATCTGCTGGTGGGAGGTGGCGAGTGACTACCTTTGCATCACCTGTGTGTTGCTGTCTCCCCTGCCTTTAATGGTTTTGTTGTTTTGTTTTGTTTTGTTTTTTTTTTTCTTTCAGTTATTAAACTGTTTTTATCTCAAGCCATGAGTGTTTCCTCACTTTTGCTCCTCTGACTCTCTCCCAGCCCACCAGCGCAGGGGGTGCTGGCCAGGATCAATGCACCATGTGAAGTTAGAGCAGTCATTCCCTACAAGGCTTTCCTCCCAGGTTTTGAAACATCCCAATTTAAAAAAAAAAAATCATTTTGTTTTAAAGTGAGAAATAAACTATCATCTATTCTAAATAGATTCTATCAATCAATCAAAAAGCGCCCATTGGAATTCAGACAATCCATTTGATTCAAAAGCCACCATATTTTTTGGTGTTTTTATTATTTATGTGATACGGGTTTCTGTTTCAGCCACTTTTACTATAAGCTCCACAATACAGAAAACATCTCACTTTTCACCTCTTTCAAAAGGCTACAGTAAGAGACAAATACCAGCATTAAAACAGATCTTATACAGTAAGCTCCTTGGACTGAAGATCTTTGACGAGATGCCATTACCATGAGAATGGATGAAAACTGTAAGATACAGAAACATTATGACCTGTGTTCATTAACTGTATGTACAATCACACTGCTATTTCCCTGAATCAAGGCATTGCAATTTAAAGCACCAAGTGCTAACAGTATCATGTAAGAGGCTCAGTGAACAACAGCAGCTTAAAATATTCAGCTAGTCAAGATTCAAAGCTCTGAAGTAAGCTAACATGAATCTGTGCAATCAAACTTTAAAATACACCCTTCAAATGCATTCATTTCCTTTCTTAGCATTCTATATATTTGTTCATCCAGATGTTTTGTTTCCCTAAGTTTAGAAAAAACGCTTTCACGTTACCTGCTGGCCCAAGTACTTTAACCCATCTAGATTGACCTTCCATTCAATCAAAAGCTGAAAGTGCTCCTTCTTGCCACCCCAGATCCTCACAACGAAACAAGAGACAGAGGTATCAAGATGATCAGGCATTATTCCAAAGTCCAGACTCCTCCATGTCGGATTCTGTAGGGATTCAAAGAGGGACAAAAACAACTCAAACAAGCTGAAAGTAGTCCTAAAATTGACAATTCAGAAAGTAGCAAAGTCCATGTCAAAGATTAAAAAAAGCGTTAAGAATAATGAACACCAGCCATTTCAAGGTTTAGGCAGAGTTGAAGTCAACAGGCTCTGCTGCTTCCTTTTTCTAGAGAGAATTCCTGGGTTAAAAGCAGCATGCTGTAAAGTACTTGAGAAACTCAGAGTGGGCTCTGCTTCCTTCCATTACAAGATGTTGAAGAACTTACTTCAGAATTTACTAATTCAGTTTAGCCAAATCAGGAACTTTAAAAGTGGAAGTAACATACCTTTCCAAGTTATAATTCAGCTTCTGAAAACTAGGGTATAGCTTACATTGCAAAAGTTAAATCTATTCCCCAATAATTAAAGTTTGCATAATTTACGGACAGGTTTGTTCACATTCTCCTCCTCCTTGACCAATGCTGATGGCAATCCTCAAATGCTGTCACTAAGAACTCCTCTTCACTCCCAACAGATCAGACTTGCATCTCAAGCTTTAGAGAAGCAGCATACATTAAGCTGAACTGCAAACACCTATTCCACTAGAAATGAGATTTGCAAACACGAGGCATTCCAAGAACTTGCACTGACCTCTGATAACATTTAAATGAAAGATTTATGGAAACTGTTGTAATTGGTTCAAGTTGCAACCAAACCAAGTCAATTCAACACTACTGGTGCCAAGAACCAGATACCAACTTGAGGACCTCCACAGGCCGTAAGTCACAGGGTGTCCGAATGCAGAAATGGGAAAGTGCTTTATATATATATATAATCTCACTCCTCT